ATATATACTAATTGATTGGAGGTATTCTATATGTTCATTTGTTATGAAAGAGATAAATAATATGGGAAATATTCACATGATAGAGTTAAATAGGCCCCAAATTCATAAGTGAGTTTTGAGAGTGGAACCACAGTAAGGATTAAAACGAAAGCACTAATTTGGGAGTACTTCTACCTAATGTTTGACCAATCATAAAAACAACTCAATTGTCCAATCCTCGTCTGACATAATGTGTTTCTTGGTTTATACTTATGTGTATCTATGTGATGTCTTGATTAATATCTCTGTATGTACTTGCTTGAAACAACTATGCTCTGCCTTGTTCACTATTTTGTCCTACAGTGCCTAGCGAATAGTGGTGATCCAATCAATACCATTTGAATAAATGAAGAAATCAATCAATAAAGTGATATTTGTACAGAATCTTAAGTTTAAAAATTTCTACTTATTTATAAATGCTTTCTAAAATATTTGATACAGGATCTCACGATCCTCTTGTCTCAGCCTCCCCACCACTGGGATTACAGGCATGCACCATGATGCCCAGTTTTGGTGGCTGGCACACCGCCTCTGGTGTTCCGGGGCTAGCACAGTATGCAGTACCAGAGATCCAACGTGGGTCCTTGTGCTTGCCAGGCAGATGTTATCTCCCCAGTCCAATGCTTTCTGTTTCTTATCTGTGACTAAGTGTGCATACATATGTGTAGTAATCAGATTAACTTTTCTCATGGTGGACAGGCAAATGATCATACTCCTATAATCCTTGTCATCAGTAGAGCTCTGACTTCAGTTTAGTATTTGTTCTAAAACAGTCTGCTTGGTGTTCAAGAAATGAAATCAGACCCCTTAATTTGTTCCCTCCCCAGTTCTCTCTCTCTCTCTTTTTTTGGTGGAACCAGGGATTGAACTCAGTCCCTTGCACTTGCCAGGGAAGTGCTTATTCTATTGAGCCATCTCCCCAGCTCCTCCCCAATTCTCTAAACTCTATTAATTCCAGACAATTTATCAGAATTGAACAGTTTGGGGCTTTGTTTTCCTCTCAGTCTGCTTCCCATCTCTAGTCTATAGTACCTTCAAGGCCCAACTCAAAACCATCTCCTCAAGGATTTGTCCCTAGGAGCTGCATCTCTGACATGTCTACCACTAGACTGTGCCATCAATTCTGTCCTTCACAGCGTTAAGCATTACTTCAGCATTAGAATGTGACCTCCCAAGCAGATTCTTATCTAATCCTCCCTGCTTTAGCTTGTGCTATTAAGAACAAAACAGACACAGAGTAAAGGTTGATTAAAATGAGTTGAATTTCAAGACCCTCGTAATAGTCTCTTCTTTCCCTGTACCTTTTCCTAGGTGTGCCGCACCAAGGTGATCGATCTCAGTGAAGGCATCTCCCAGCACGCCTGGTACCCTTGTACCATCAGCTATCCATATTCTCAGCTGGCGCAGACCACTTTCTGGCTCCAGGTAAGCCCAAGTCCTGGTGGCATCTACAGCTCTGGGCCCCAGCAAGCACTGACTGCCAAGACAATGTTACCTCAAAAAAGATCGTCCACGTATGAAGCCTGTGAGTTGTGAGGACAGGGAGCCAAGTTGTAAGCAAAGTGCTTCTTGAGATAGAATTTCTTACATGGTCAGTGCTTGTTTTGGTAAAGAATTTGGCTAGCTTCACCTGCCTGAAGCCTCTATTGTTAGTTAAGTCCCTCAAAAAATTTACCTTTTCCTCCTGAGGTCCTTGCTGACCAACATTGAAAGAAGTGACCGTGTTCTTCCTTCCAGCTCTGCACATGCTTGGCCATCTGTTGCCGAGTGACCCCTGTCACATGGCATTCTAAAGCTGCTGTGAAATCTTTGTAGATTGTATTGATTTTGATTTCTATGTCACTGACCTACTTTGAATCCCATGACTCTCAGCAGTGCAAGGGCCATGTCTTACCAGCTTTGGTTCTCGGTGCAGAGATTGGTGTGGAAGGGTGATGAGTCATAAATACCACTAAGTTTTTAGAAGGTTTCAGGGTGTCCCACGCCCTATGCTTGATGCTTCATTCTCATTGTTGTACTAGAATTGCGCAGTGACCCGGGTAAGATTACTTTCTTTCTTTTAACCCACTATTCAAAATGAGAACAGTTAGGGCCAGAGCAGCCTGGCCATCCTTACAGGGTCATACAGCCAGGTAGGATCAGAGTTCAGCCTGGAACAGCATTTCTAGCTTTTGGGCCCATGCTCCTCACTGGTAGGCTTCACCCTTTTTCTGTCCCATCTGTGGCCCTTAATGAGTAGCATATTTCTAGAAATGGGGGAAGGTTCACCTCGATCTGCCACAATGTAGCTACTTGCCTGCCACATGACTAACTGAGTGACACTCCATGTCTTCTCCATTGCAGGCATATTTCTCTCAGCCAATGGTTGCTGCAGCTGTCATTGTCCACCTGGTGACTGATGGGACATATTATGGGGACCAAAAGCAAGAGACAATCAGCGTGCAGCTGCTTGACACCAAAGATCAGAGCCACGACTTAGGCAAGCATATGCGCTTGGCTTGGCTTCTTCCCGGTACCTCCTCCCACACGCCTGCCATGGGTGGTTGTGCACAGCGAATTAGGATGTCTTCTTTCTTTCCCTTTTGTCTTTCTTGTGTCCTCACACCTTGATATTTTGGGGGTTTTATGAAATATGTGGTTGTGTGTTCAGATAGAACCTAAATATCCAGGTTTCAGAATCATAATCCTCTAGCCAGAGGTGTCTGTGAAAACCCCTTCTGCAGTGACCATACACACTCAGCACAGCTTCCAGCAAAGATCCTTGTGGTAGTAGGAAAAAGAAAGTTTTCCCCTGAGCTCAGGAATGAAGAGTCATGTCTGCATCACAGAGCTGAATGAAAAGCAAGGGACAGAATTGTCACCTATACCACCCCTTGCAGACTTACTTGTGCTGTGACATAGAAATAGCCCAATCCCAGAGCTGAGGGTCAAAGTTGGAATTCCATACCTGCCACCCACCCACCTTGGGAAGGCACATGATTTCCTCAGCTGTTCAGTGCCTCACTGACTTCTGCACACACAAACAGGAACCGTGATGCCCACCTTACCATCAGAGTTAGGTGTCCCTTGGTACTGTTGTGACCACACTCAGCATGAGTCCTGGCATTAAGACTTCTTTGGTAGCACTAAGAAATCTCCGTTACACCCTGTCTCCTCTAATCTGCCCTGGAGGACTCTTGGTAGCCCTTCTGAGTGTTTGGAATTCCGGGCCAGCCCTAGAGTCTGGGCTTCAAAGCTCTACCCACCCCATCCCCCAGAGAGTGCCTTTCAAAACCCCTAAGAAGCAAGCAGACAAGAGGTCATAGTGGGGTCAAATTGAAGCCGGAGGAGCAAGGAGAATTTTTGTTTTGTTTTGTCTTTATGTTTATTTACTTAGTCAGTTTTAAAGGCAAGGGGGAAGATATTAATAAGGAAGAGAAAGAAAGCCCCTCTGGAGTTTTCTGGATTCCTGGGAAATTTCCCTAAGTGAAAAATAAATATTTTCACAGTGGTCCTGGCATTGCAAAGGGCTCTGAGGCAAGGTTTCTCAGGACAGAGGGTGGAAGTCTAGTTCCACAGGAGCTCCCTGGACCCTGCTACTAGAGGCTGCAGTTTCAGCCTTGCCTTCTTCTGCCCCACCATGTTCTCCTGTCTCAGTGTCCTGGCATTCCCAGGGATAGAGAAAGGCAGCTACTGAGTTTGTAGCTTCCTGCGTCTACAAGGAGGAATTCTCAGACCATAGCAAGGCTGCCAGCACTCATATAGGGAGGATGCCAGTGGTTTTTTAGATGCAGAATTGGAATTCAGTAGGTTTTCCAGAGTTTTTGGTCAACAAGAAGATGCTTAAGCAGCACGTGCACCCAAATCCGCCAAAGCCTACTTCCCTTTTGCCGACTCCATCCAACAATCTCCTTCCCTTGTCCACCCCCCCCCCGTTCTGTATCATTTTTCCTCACCCTCTGTTGTTCTTCCCAAAGCCTAGGACTGGAGGACTCCTGAATGAAGCAGGCAGGGCCTCAGGGATCACTGTGTTCTGTGGCCCTCCAAGCTCAGGGCCTGTCTCCTGTTCCGCATATGGGCCTCACAGGTTCCTACCCCTCAGGCCCGCTCTAAGTTTTCAGATTGCTGACAACAAGGGTTCTTATTTTTCTCTTATTCTCATACCCTGGAAGGGGCCTGTTGCTGTGAGTTGATTCCATCAGGCAGGCAGCCTGTAAGCTAGCAGCTCAGACCGTGAGGCCCTATGGCAATGTGGGAGGGAGCTGAGGGCTAGGGATGATAGCCTGAAGGGTGGCCACTGGGGAGAGGGAGAGGGGCTGTGGGCACTAGGTGAAGGGAAAGCTTAGGGGGCAGGGGCAGGAGGATTGGAAAGATTTGGAAGCAAGAAAAAACAGCAGACAAAGAAACTTTCAATCAAACTCAAAATCCCCACTGGTCGCCCAATGGTGCTTTTGTGCAGTGACATGAAAGGGTCTGGGGGCTTCAGGAAGGGCCCATTGGGGAGGGCGTGACTGGCCTTGAGTAATGAGCCTGGCCCCTCGGCCCTCTGTCTCCCCTGACAGGCCTCCATGTCCTGAGCTGCAGGAACAATCCCCTGATTATCCCAGTGGTCCATGACCTCAGCCAGCCCTTCTACCACAGCCTGGCGGTGCGTGTGAGCTTCAGTTCGCCGCTGGTTGCCATCTCGGGGGTGGCCCTCCGCTCCTTCGACAACTTTGACCCTGTCACCCTGAGCAGCTGCCAGAGAGGAGAGACCTACAGCCCTGCAGAGCAGAGGTAAGGCATCCTGGGGCTGCCTACCCGGTGCCATTTGTAACAGCATGGGAACACTGAGGTTCTGTGAGTTGGAGCAGCTGTTTGTGCACCTGTAAAAAGTCTGCATGTTTCTCCCTTCTCCATCTTCTGACCTTTGCCAAGCTTGGCCTTTGGGCTTGAGACCTATGAGTGCCTGAATTTCTGGAGTGAGTGAGGGTCGTATGGTAAAGAGCTACCCTCTTTCAGCTAGCTCACCACAGCACACAGGGTGACAGGGAAACGGCAGTGTCTCTCCAGGCTGAGGATCCCTATATGAACAAAGAGAGAGCAGGTGGATTTGCTCTTTCAGGTCAGCAGTGCTGGAATATGCAGCACTATAGATGGTGCAGGCAGGAGGCATAGTCCTCTTCCATCAAGGAGGATGGAGTGACACTGGTGTAGGGATTAGCACGGTTCTCTGTGCATGTAAGAGGTGGGTGGAACCTCCCTGTCCTCTGTAGAGTGAGTCTCAGAGATGGGCCTATATAAGATCCTATCTTTTAGCTGCATACCATCATTCCGAAAGCATTTTGGACTTGGCGTTTGTGAATGTAGCTCATTTTGAGGTAGGAGGAAATGCTGTTGTCTCGAGAGAATGTGAGCTTGGCTGCTTCCCCTTGACTTTCCAAGGTGCCACTTCTCCCACATGTGTCCTTGGATACCTGGCATTCCCTCCTTTCTCAAACCCGCATTCCTCTTTTTTGGAGGAAGCAGGTAATGTGTTCTTTCTTTTTTTTTTTTGGCAGAACCGGGGATTGAACTCAGGCCCTTGCGCTTGCCAGAGATTGAACTCAGGCCCTTGCGCTTGCCAGAGAAGCGCTTATTCCACTGAGCCATCTCCCCGGCCCCTATGTGTTCTTTCTCTCAGGATGGTTGTGAGAAGTAACTGCTGTACTCTAGATGACAATGCACAGTGCTTTCACTTGCAAGGACATTGTCATCTATTATATCAATAGAGTATATTTGCAGCTACTTTGCAATGATGGCCGTGGTAGTTCTATGCACAGAATTCTGTGCTGTTCTTAAAGCTGGAACTAGAGAAAGCTGCAGAGGTGACTTAGGACAACTAATATATCCAAATCTTAGAGTTCCCATCCAGGACTCCAGGGCCTAGTCAGGAGAACAATGGGCCCAGGGTTTCCCAGCATCTCTCAGATTTGCTTAATGTAATCCAGAAGAGGGGAAAAAAGAGTCACTGGGCTTTGCAGAGTGAGACCTTCCACAAGGTAAGTGAGCCCTTCCCTGCCCACCTAGGGGCATAGAGAAGAACATGGAGAGGGAAGGGGGACCCCAGCCTTTCCCACGCCCTGTGCTCCCATGGAGGACATAAAAGGTGGTTGCAAAATCCACATTGTTTTGCACCCACTGTCTCCAGCTTCTGTTATGCAAAGTCTGTTGCAATCATTCCAAGGCAAGAGCTCCTTAAATATCACTCATTGTCATATTACACTCTAAGAGGGCTTTTTTATCCTGGGTTCTCCAGGCTCTATAAAAATAAGTTAATTCTCAGAATACAGGGAAACAATGTTGATGGAAAACACAAGCCCATTGGACTGTTTCGATGGTGTTTTCCCATTCTTAGCTGGCCAGCCAGACCAGCCACAGGTTGACTGAAAATGGCACCAAGTTCTTTGAATCTTTATTTGCCCACTGCTGTGCCCTAAGTTAGCAGTAAGCAATGGTTAGCCTTGGAAGCCAATGGAGTGGTTTGTAAGTGGAGTTCTTTGACCCAGCAGGCATGATGAACTGGGTCAAAGGTTTGCCCTGAACCTGTGGATCTGTGCCAAATTATTCCCTCTCTCTAGGCCTCAATTTCTTAGTCCATAAATGGATGATGATAGTTTACATGCTCTCTGTGGTTCTCCCCAGCTGTAACTCTCTTTGATTCTTAAGACTGAGGAAGGGTGAGAGAAGGGAGGCAGGGACAAATGTTGGTTGAACCCTCGATCAGAGCATTGTCTTCCTTCATTCTCAACCTCTGCTGGGACATCTATGAGAACCATCATGAATAAAGGACATCCAGGCAGGAAAAGGCAAAATCCTACTTTGCCTGCAGTCATGTCCTTCGCATTGAATCAGGCATGTTGAGGAGAAGAGAGGAATTTACAAGGCTGGGCACAAGTGAGCACACACTCAGTGCAACTCTGAGTCAAGGGTTGGAGATGCAGCCCTGAGGGCCTTGGCTGGTTGCTGTGGGAGCTGGACCCAGGCTGAGGAGGGACAGCTGAGCCTGCAGGGCTGGGGCACCTCTTCCTGAGTGCCTCAGTAAAAGAGGACAGTAGCTGTTCCTGGGAAGCTGCAAAGGTATTTACCAAAACAGGCAGGATACTGCAAATGTGCAGGCGCTCTGACACAAGCAAACACAGAGGAAGGAAAGAAAGAAGCAACCATGCACAAAGCCCTGGGGGTTTCTCTGCACCCTCACGATCACTGAAGTGAATAGCATCACTCTTATAGCACAACTTTCAGCTGGGTATAGTCAGAAGGTCCCTCCTTTCTATCAGCCCTTCCTCAGGTAGTGAAAGATACTGTGTTCTCTGTCCATGCCTACCTTTATCTGCCCTTCTGCTTCTCCTGCATGCAACTCTTCCCCTCCTGCCCCACCCTGTCCATTGGCTTTCTTGCTTTCTCCCCTCCTCCCTCCCCTCTCTCCTTACTCTATCTCCTCCTGTCTCCCTCCCTCCATCCCTTCCTTCCTTCCTCATCCTCTTCCCCTCATTTTCTTTCTCTTTTCCTGAGAGTAGTGCAGTATCCACTGGGCTACCATGGGAGACTCATTGTGATTGCAAAATCTGTGCAAGCAGTGCGTTCTGACCTAGATTCAAGGGTCTTCAGTCCCTGTGCAGTACTTGGTATAAATTCTGATGTCCAAAAAGCCAAGATCATATTTCAAATGAGAGATCCAGCTGTGGAAATCCAGTCAAGTCCCAATCCCACACCTACTGGGGAAAGAGAAAATGGGGAACAGAGAGGTATAAGAGAGGAAAGTAAAAGGATTCTTCAATGGAAATAACATTAGTTATGTTGTTGAGCACACCTCCAGTGTATTTATCACACACACACACACACACACACACACACACACACACACACACAAACACACCATCTTTCCATTCAACCTCATGATTCTAAATGGAAATTGAACAATTTATTGTTAAATTAAATGGGGCTTATACTTATACAGCTTGGTTCCTTTTCTTACCTCCTCACTCCCACGCTCCTTTCTTTCTTGCTTGCCTGC